TAGTTAGGGTCAGACACGGTTCTGGATAGTCTCTATCGTGTCCAGAACCGTGCCTAAATGGGTTAGGGTTAAGTTCAGACACGGTTCTGGATAGTCTCTATCGTATCCAGAACCGTGTCTATCTAGGTCTATGCCTGAACGGATTAGAGTTAGGTTCAGGCACGGTTCTGGATAGTCTCTATTGTATCCAGGACCGTGCCTAACTAGGTTCATGCCTGAATGGGTTGGGGTTAGTGGTGCATACCTAAACCCACATTTAGGTTCAGATCCAGATTCAAGTCCAGAGGTTTAGGTTCAGTTCCGGACTTGTAAGTCCGGACCTAAACCCATGGCATATACAACATTGCATGTTGGCAACCTTGCAATGTTGTCTGGGTGAAACTTTGGCCACATAACATGGAGGCCGGTACTTGACGACGCCCGATGGCAATGTTTTCTTCATTTTGCAGCAAAGATTTTGCAATTTACGGAGGCTTTTAGGTGGTTTGGAAACAAAAGGGGTATATGAAATGGTTTTTTATGGTAATAAGTCCGGACTCGGTTCTTGAGTTTTTTTTGGACTTGAACCTAAACATTCTCACAAGTCCGGATCCAAGTCCAGTGAACCGGTGTGCAGCACTAGTTGGGGTAGGATCATGCACGGTTCTGGATACCATGGTGAGAGACAGTCTGGTTCAGTTAGGTCAGAGGTCACTGTTTGGAGAAGAAGAAGAGGAAACGTAGCAAAAACAATATGTTTGCCTGCGGTAAACATAAAATGATATCGATAACAAGCATGTACGACTGCAAATGCCATTCTAATTAATCTTTTTAAGGAAAAAAATAGTGTTGTCGCAGCCAATTACAGCACACACAAAGCGAAGGGTAATATTCTACCTTATCTGGTTTCCACACATTTGTTTCAATTTCAACCCCTTAAAAACATATACTGGCTGCCATTTCAGATTATTAATGAGAGCACTTAATCAAGAAAAAAGACCCATTCACTCGTGGTAGCGCAAACGTCAAGACCATATGGAGTAAATTTGAACAAACGACGTTCTTTGACATTTGGAACAATGTGTGCTGGGGTAACGACCATAGAGGCTACGTAATTTCTACTGTCCAAGCAGAGGTTTGGGATTATTTTTGGCGTGTTTTTCTCGGGATTGCACAAACAAAAAATCCAGTGAAAAAAAAGAAACCCTGAAACACGCCAGAACTAGAAATATACCCAAAACCCAAACCTCTGCTTAGAGAGTATATCACAGAGACATCCTCAAGAATATCAATGGATCAAAAACTAGCCCAGAGACGGTGATACGAAACCACGTCGCTTTGATAAGGCCCCGAATGTTTGATTTTCACGCAGTTCGCCCTCTCAGAGTCTTCTCCTAAGCCAGCTACATGTAGCTCAGGATCAGACGACGTTGCTGCTTCTTTCCCCTTTTTGCTGTTCCCCTCAGCTTATACCAGTCTAGACAGGGAACGAGGGGATATTTTTCACAGTACAAAAACGTTATTCGCTTTGGTAACGCCCGAATGTTTGATTTTCACACAGTTCGCTCCATCAGTACGTCTTCTCCTCTGTCTGCAAGCACAGGATCAGACGATCTGATGCTGTCCCTTTTTTTGCTGTTGCTGAAGGAGGTGGCGGTATTTTTCAAAGTGCAGAAACGTTATTCGCTTTGATAAGGCCCCGAATGTTTGATTTCACACAGCTCGCCCTATCAGAGATCTTCTACTAGCGTACAGAAGGATCTTCGAGGATATCTATGGATCAAAAGCTAGCCCAAAGACGGTGATACGAAACCGCGTAGCTTTGATAGCGCCCCAAATGTTTGATTTTACACAGCTCGCCGTCTTCCCCTCAGTCTGCTAGCACAGGATCAGACATGTTTCTGCTGCTTTCCTCTTGGTTTAAATTCTCCCGGCTTGTAACAGTCTAGACTACGAAAGAGGTGGTATTTTTCACAGCCAACGCGGTACAGAAGCCCTTATTCTCCAAGCAGAGGTTGTTGGGGAATGATCGTTAGCTTTTTATATATGGCCGTTTTTTGTCGCTAATCCCACCCGTCGGTGGCCGGCGGCGACCTTCTCTGGCTAATGGATACTGCCTGGCCAATTTGATACTGTCTTTTTGCCACCGAAAGGGATCTGCTTGGAGATTAGGAGGTGGTGTTTTTCACAGCAAACGCGGTACGGAAACCCTCCCCAGCCGCAGTGATTCCGCCCGACTTGTTGCTGCACCAGAACGATGTGGTTTTACCGATGTACAGTCTAGTGGTGCTGGGCTCACGTGGTGTCGGGAAGAGCGCGTTGGTGAGTACCTAAACAACCTGCAAGCATGGAGGTAGAATTTCTTCTACCTCCGTGCTGCGAGCGATCGTTAAAAACAACGTTGTGACTGATTTTATTGTGTGATACAAATAATGTAACCTTTTACACATATGAAATAAAGCCGCCATGTCTGTCTAGCACCGTAACATGATGGTAAAATCCCACAGACACGGTAATAATAAGTACTAGTAGACATAGATGTATCATAAAAACAACGCAGTGACTGTGACTGATCACAGTTCGCCTACGTCTGTGTGGTGGAAATAATGTAACCTTTTGCACATATAATATAAAGGCGGCATGTCTTTCTAGCATCGTAAAATTCCACAGACACGGTATATCGATAATAAGTACTACTAGACATAGATGTATCAGAAACAGGGTTGGTTGTTTATATCTCTAACGGCATTACAAGACCAGGAATCGTTAAACAACACTAACTGATCGCAGTTCGCCTAGGTCTACGTGGTAAAACATAACGTAACCATTTATACATATAATATATGTGTAAAAGGTGTTACATTATTTGTACCACACAGACATAGGCGAATTGTAATAAATCACAACGTTGTTTTTAACGATCGCGATTCCTAGTCTCGGAGACATAAATCCCTGTGAGCACGCCACCCACGTCTCCGTGCTAAGCCCAGGGCGAGCGAGTCGTCTTGGCGCAATGGCGAATTCTCGCCTGCCGGGAAATGCGATTATCTGTGATAACAGCGTAACTCAGCAGGGATTGAGCCGGAGAGAGATGCGCACCGTCACAGCTAGGGCAGCGTGGAAGTGAAATCACGTTTTTATTTCGTGGTGATACATGTACTACATAGTGCACTGAGATGTATTTTTGTATGAATGAAACATTTTCGATATCACCACAAAATAAATCACGTTTTTATTTCGTGGTGATATCGGTTAGTAGAATATTCATCAATCAGTGACTGGTTTTTGAAAGGTAGAAACATTGAATCAAAATGATTGATGAATATTCTACTAACTGTTAATCTTACGTGACTGATGAACCTCTTCAACGGTGGTGATACCGATAGTGCACTAAGCTGTATTTTTCAATTTTTTGTATGAATTGTGAGGATAACATCTACAGTGATAGAAACTTCTTATATTTTTGCAACACCGTTTTTTATTGCATAGCGTGCATCCGAGAATAAATGGAGTGGGAGTGAAATCACGGTTTCATTTCGTAAACCTATGGAAAACATATATAGAAAACTCGGTTAAGAGACTTGATTATTATGCAGATAGCGTCAGCGATGACGACAGCACATATTAGCGTTAGCACAAAAGCTGTACATAAGGCCACACCGACGTAATTTTATGGATAACATTCGTGCGCGCATTGATTTTCGCCTGTTCTGAAAAAAAAAGATTACTAGTACGTCCTTAGAAGGTCTGGCCTGGCTCTAGCCAGTGGTAACTCTGGAGGACGGCACCCAGGCTACAGAAGCCCCACGACTCAAGAACTCAGTACATACGTACAGTGCCGATTCATAAATTCCAGCATGTCCCGGCTTTTATCTTTTAATTTTTTTATTCGCCCGCGCGCACTGGTCTGGGGGTCTTCAGAGGATGCCATCCATAAAACTAAGTCGATGTGGCCTAATGTCCCGGGGTGGATTGTTATTGACATAAAGATGGGGTACCTACAGACCTAGCAACGTGGCTATTACTGAAAGTGCGAACGGCCATTATAGCACTTCATGATGTTAAAATGCCGCCCCGTAGCTAGAGTGTGTTTGCAGAGGCTCGGGTGCAAACACTCAACGATGTATATAATTCCTGATTTTTTTTCACTGTTCACAGTTTTCACTGTCACTTCTGTACCGTGAACCTATCATTACAGTTAACAAATAATTCCTGGACTTTCTTTTCCCTGCTCCTGTCCCCACCGTGAAAATATAGTTCCGTGAACATTTCCATTTTTCTCAGACCGTGAACGTTTGCTGCTGTGAACATAAAGCTTTTATAGGGAATTAGTATATAGTACTAGTATGTCAATATGTTTGAAGAAGCTTGGGTGCAAACACTCAACGCTGTATATACGTCACTGTAAATGAAGTCGCTACTTCGGGTGGCAATTCGATGATGGTTTGTTCACTTTCTCCATCGTTTGTCATTTTCTCCACCAAGCATTTTTAGGATCTGTAGTAGGTACATGTACGTAGATAATACGCACCTACTACAGCGAAAATAAATAAAGCGAAAAATGAAACAACCAAATTTAAACAAAAAGAAGTAAAACACACAGAAGATGCGTGTTTTGCTTAGTATTGAATTGATTTACTGCAATTGTAGAAAAAAATATCAACAGGCAGCAGAAGGGCTCATAATCATATCAAATAACATGAAATATAGCATATATCTTATATAACATGAAATAAAAAATAAACACAGAGTATAAAGATACAAACTGGAATATAAGATGAAACAAAACGATTTACGTGAGCAGCACTGCGTTAATGTGATGTTCTATATTCCTCCTACGCACAGTTAGTGGATGATTACGGAGAAGACGTACGTGTTAACTCAGCCGACTCTTTCATTTCCTGCAGATCACACAATATGCGGAGAGCCGATTTGAAGAGGAGTACAACCCGACAATCGAGGACAATTTTAGAAAGGTGCTTCTGAGGGACGAATCGGTAATCGTCGTGGGTGGGTCGGGAATGGTCGTGGACGGATCGGGAATGGTCGTGGGTGGGTTGGGAATGGTCGTGGGCGGGTCGGGAATGGCCGTGGGTGCGTCGGGAATGGTCGTGTGTGGGTCGGGAATGGTCGTGGGCGGGTCGGGATTGGTCGTGGGTGTGTCGGGAATGGTCGTGATTGGGTCGGGAATGGTCGTGGTCGGATCGAGAATGGTCGTGGGTGGGTCGGGAATGGTCGGGGTGCGATTTGATAGCCGTCAAAAATATATAGATTATATACAATAATGGTAACTGATATGCAGAAATTTCGAAATGTGATAATGATAAACTTCTTCCTCTTTTCAATCAGACGGACGAGATAGATGGGAAGTCGTGCCTTCTGGATGTCCTAGACACGGGGAGTCAGGTGAGGCTTCATTCTTATGTTTACTTTTGCTTTGTTTCTTCCTCTCCAAACCCAAGGTCATTGACCTGGGCCAGACGTCTGTCACCATGGTAACTGGTGCTGAAACAGACAAATTAAGGTGCCATGTTTATCGTTTTGCTTTGTTTTTTCTTCTTCTCGTCAAAACACATAAGGTCAATGACCTGGGCCAGAAGTCTGTCACCACGGTAACCGGGGGCTGTAGCATACACCCTGTGGTGTTGGATTATATTATGTAGTTACGAATGTGTTCGAGTAAGAATCAACAGTAGTTTATTGTTACCAGCAAATTGAGAAGGGCCATGAAGGACCAAGTTCTATGTTAAGCTATACCACGTGAAGGTAAACATTATGCATTTGCTCCCTGGTTTTCACGAACAGGAGGAGTACCAGTCTGTACGAGACGGCGGGCTGTCCCGGGGACAGGGGTTCGTGCTGGTGTTCTCTCTCACGCAGGAGTCCTCACTCACGGAACTGGCATAGACTAAACATTACGCATTTGCTCTTCAAATGTTACCTCTCCAGTTCCTTGTTGTGGTAGCCTGGATGCCAGATCTAGAGCCACAGCACACTAGGCTCAAAGTTATCCTGTGTGCAGACTGGATACTTTGGGCCTAGTGTGCTGTGGGTCTGGCATCCAGGCTGTCGTTGTGGTTGCCCTAACAGGAGGAGTACAAGTCTGATGGAGACTAAACATCATTTGACGTTTTCAAAATCATATGCAGTTGCTTGAGTAACTGTTTTTTGACTAAACATCATGCATTTGCTCTTCAAATGTTACCTTTCTGGTTTCTTGTGGTTACTCAGGAGGAGTACAGGTCAGTGCGAGACGGCGGGCTGTCCCGGGGACAGGGGTTCGTGCTGGTGTTCTCCCTCACGCAGGAGTCCTCACTCACGGAGCTGGTGGAGACACGCGACAGAGTGCTGCAGGCCAGGCCAGGGGGACAGGTAAAATTTATCTCCAAGCTACGAAAGCCCAGAACGACAAAAGTTGTAGCCTCCAGAGATGTGCTCACTGACCTCCAAGCAGATCTTTCTATAAGCCAGGCCAGGGGGGCAGGTAAAATTATCTCCAAGCAGATCCTAGGGTGGCTAAAGACACCCATACGCCACCCAAAGCGCATGGACCCTCTCTGGCAAATGGATACTGCCTTGCCAATGTGATAATGTCTTTCGCCACCCTAGGATCTGCTTGGGGATTAGGTAAAAACAAGGACATTATACAATGTACAATGTACATGTATAATGTCCTTGGTAAAAATAATCTCCAAGCAGATCTTTCGGTGGTTGCAAAATAGTATCAAATTGGCCAGGCAGTATCCGGGATCCGATACGTACACCACCAGTACACGTACTAAAGGAAAGCCCAAACACCTCTCCAGTGCTTTGCGTACTTTTTTTCTTTGTTTGTTTGTTTGTTTGTTGTTGACAGGAATTTTTCAAGGACTAATGATTATTAATTAAATTTTTAATTAATCAATATTACGTCTCCCCATATATGACGTAGGTTCCGATGGTGCTGGTGGGCAACAAGAGCGATCTTGTGACGTCACGAGAAGTCAGTAGGGGGAGGGGAGAAGGGTTCTCGGACAAGTTCAACTGGTAAAATCTCATCTTATTTACAACCTAGTAACCTTGCAAATAACAAAATAAAAGGACATTGAAACAGCCTGAGTACAGAATCTACATGATAAAAGGTAATTGTCTAAAATTATATACAACTACTTGCGTCACTGATATACCTAGGATTTTGCATTAAGATATTAAATTGCAAATAGCAAATAGAAGGAGAGCATTGTACATATAGCTATTTCTAAAAGTAAGGGTTTGACTTCTCTAACATGACTTGGAATCCGTTTTTTTTCTTTCCTTCAGTCCATATCTGGAGACCTCTGCCATGCTGGGAACTAATGTACATGAGGTGGGTGTCACGTGATTCTTGTTGCACGATTCTGTATATTCTAGTCAAAACGATACGTCAGCAAATAGATCGATTCAAAACTTTTCTCTGATTATTTTTCTCTAATGTGTAACTTTGCAGAAAGAAAAACTATTGTTTTGCTCTGTTTATATGTTTCTTCTTTATTTTCTCCCAACGCAAAAGGTCAATGACCTGAACCAGGCGTCTGTCACTATGGTAACTGGTGCTGTAGCAGATACCCTGTAGTGTTGGGTTGCATTATGTAGCATGGAGCTGGTTCACACATGAATGAGTTTTACAAGAATAAACAGAGTAATAGTTTGTTAGGCTAGACCATGTGAAGGTAAATATTGTGCATTCGCTTTGAAAATGTCACGGCTCCATTTTGATTGTTTATTTGTTTGTTTGTTTGTTTGTTTACATGCCTACATGTTCCATAGGTGTTCCGTGGGTTGGTTCGGCAGATCATGAAGACGACGCCGGGATCACGTGATTATGACTGCAGGCAAGACTCCCGCGACCAGGCTGGAGGGTCTCGCATGTGTGTTCTGCTGTGACGCATGTTAATGTTCTCATTTGCATACTTGGGACAACTTAAATGAAGCCGTTACCAATGGCAGCCAACCTGTGGGGTATCGCATGTATGTTCTGCTGTGAGGGTCACGTGGCAGCCAAGCCGAAGGGTCTCGAATGTGTGTTCTGCTGTGATGGCTGGAGGGTCTCGTATGTTAACGATTAATTTGCATACTCGGGACAACTTAAATGAAGCCGTTACCAGTGGCGGCCAGTCTGGAGGGTCTCGCATGTGTGTTCTGCTGTGACGGTGACACAAGGGCTGTGTATGTCAGTGTGTGTCACAGTGCGCGCGTGCATTTGTGTGTGTGTGTGCGTGTGCGTGTGCGTGTGTATGTGTATGTGTGTTTGTGTGTGTGCGTGTGTGCGTTTGTGTTTGCGCAGCCTTTTCCTCTGTATATTTGAATAAAAAATGTTTTCAAAATGGACTATAACCAAAACATACTCTCCTGCGTGTGTGTCTCGTGGGTAACACATTTCAACGATCGACAACTTACACATTTCTATCCTGACAGCGCCGCTTTACACGTTTTTATTGTCCTGCGTCCGTAACGTTCCATGTAATCACGTACAATACTCGAGTTTTTTCAACTTATATTAATGCCGAGTAGTATTTTGCCTGGAAAATTCGTCCACCTAAGAACCTCCCTCCTTCTTGGGAGGAGAGGTATTGTGAGGTGTGTAAGAAGCTTCTCCATGCGTCTCCGACAGAGAGAAAGGTGTACACGGACCTGGACAAGTGGTGGAGAGGCGGGAACTACGAGCTCTGTGAACCGATGGTGTACGAAGGACCGAATCCGAACAACCAAGTAGCAACGTTACGCGTAATGATTATCAGCCTCCCAGTGGCATTTTATGCCACACTGTATAACTTTAGTGTAACGCCATATAGTTCTGAGTTGTTTATTAATAGCCTTTACCAGGCTTTGGGAGGCGGTTGGAAAGAGTAGACATTGGCCAAATAGAGAGAGAGAGAACATGCCAAGGGAGTTACTAGTGAAATTTGCCGCACCCGTACTCGCTAGCGGACTAACTCCCCCGGCATGTTATCTTTCTCTATTTGACCAATTTCTACTCTTTCCAGCCTCCTCCCGAAGCCTGGGAGAGGCTACTTAGTTGTATATGGTGGGCAGGATATGTAGTACGTATCATGGTGGGCAAAAGCATGTGTACCATACCGTAGCGCGGTGACCTACACTTTGACGGTGATTTGTCAGATTGCTGAATGAGTTTCAAACAATATATATTCTTTAAGTTTTGGGTCTATTTAGTAATAATCTTTCAGTTTGCTTTTTTTTTTTTGCTTTAATTGACTGATATTAGAATGGTGAAGTTAAGAGATACAGATGTTGAATGTAGAGCTTGTTCATGTATTTTGAAACAATTGCATTATTAGTACATGTAGTAGAAACTAGAATGAAGGGATTTTCTTTTACACCACCAGTAGTGCCTCTTTGCTTATGTTTCGGTGTCTATCAGACACGTGCCTACCTCAGAGCTTCTGACTGGAGTTCTGCTTCTTGCCGCTATATGTAGGTGACGCTTTTGCGGCGAGAATACGAACACGAGGAAGGTGTCTGATAGACACCGAAACGTATTAAGCAAGGTACGAAACAATACTGGTTGTGTAAAAGAACATTCCTGTATCCCAATGAAACTATCTTCGGGAATAGCAGAAACTACTAAAAAGGGTGTTACATATTACTTAATAATATAATGGTGTACATATGTTTTGTGTGTGTGTGTGTGTGTGTGTGTGTGTGTGGTGGACAGGATATGTATTATATATTTTTGGTGCCTCAATATGTGTGGGTTTTATAAAGTGGTCATACAGAGGTCAAACCAAGGTCATTTGGGGGGGAGGCTGCCTATGGATTACGAAGACTAAGGCCTGATTACGCCTTACGAAAAAGGGCATGCAGCCCCCCCCCCCCCTATACCTCTGCTTGGTGGAGTTACGGTTTGCTGAGTTGGAACAAAGAAGGGGGTTAGATATCGTTATACCCTGGGGCACGGTTACCTGTCTAGCCGTTTTGCCCATATATGGCGTTTGTTAGCGGATGACGTCACGTTAAGGGTCTCCCGTGACGTATGGTGGAATACCTCTGTCTGAACAGTGATTCATGCGGGCTGTTCCTAACACAAAAACTTAATACGCCCCAGTTGGGTAGCCTCTACCAGGCTTGGGAAGGCGGCTGGAAAGAGTAGAAATCGGCCAAATAGAGAGATAACATGCCGGGGGAGTTTGTCTGCTTCGGGTGCGGCAAAATGTTCTCTCCCAGCAGACAAACTCCCCTGGCATGTTATTTCTCTATTTGGCCGATTTCTACTCTTTCCAGCCGCCTCCCCAAGCCTGGTAGAGGCTACGTTGGGCCGTCTTTGGCCAATGGATACTGCCTGGCCGTCTTATGCCACCCTAAGATCTGCTTGGAGATTAACAGAACCGTACCTGACACGTGTGAGCATTGTTCAAAACACGTACGGGTCTAGGATACACGGCACGGCGCCCCCATTCAAGAATTGTCGGTAAAACAGTGGCCCGATGGTTCAGAACCATCGGGCCACTGAGAACTGTTTTACCGACAAAGAAAATGCTATGAATCGGTGATCGATTTTTGTTATCAGTCCGATAGCGTAACTGTGCCCACATATTCTTCTTTTGAACTGACTCAAACACCTACAGTTTACCTTGGGCGGTTACACGTTTGACTCACCGTACTTTGCCGTGACTGTACGTGTCAAGTACCGTGAATAAAAGGTGAATACACGTACGGAGAAAGCGTTACTAACCTGTGACAACTTGGCACAGAGTTAGGGGTTAGCCTCTACTAGGCTTCAGAGGTGGCTGGAAATTTAAAGAGTAGAAATTGACCAAAATAAAGGGATGACATGTCAGGGGATTTGATTCGCTAAGCGTTTACAGTTTGTAGCCTCTACCAGGCTTCGGGAGGCGGCTGGAAAGAGTGGAAATCGGCCAAATAGAGAGATAACATGCCAGGGGAGGTGGTCTGCTAGAGAGAACAGTTTGCCGCTCCCCTGGTAGACTTTGCCCATGGCATGTTCTCAGTGTCTATTTCGCCAATTTCTGCTCTTTACAGCCGCCTCTGAAGCCTTCTAGAGGCTATGATTTGCCATGACTGTACAGTAATGGACTGGTGGTTTCAGCTTTTTCCAACGACCACAACCGTGGCTGTTTTATGTAGATAAGGACTTTGGCACCGGCAGAGTGTTTAGTTTAATGTTACCTTTGACAGTACCGCGAAGTCGGCTGGGACAATGCCAAATAAAATCTCACGTTTCATGATGAAAGCGTCAATCGTGACAGAAATCACAGCGTCTGGGAAATCTGAGTCATAATAAATGAAGTAGCCACTTTTGAAACGTTTACATCATCAACGCTATAATATATAAAGTCTTGTACAACCCTTGGTGAGGCAACCAGAGTTTGGAAAGTATACAATAGGGGTGCCAGAGTATACACGGTGCAATTTTACGGAATACAGTGCAATCGTATTAGTAATACAGTACATTTTACTCTGGCACCCCAGTAGTAGTGGTGGACTGGTTTTAAAGTCGGTATTTTCTAGTGTATACAATGACCAGGGTTCGTGTGGATTGAACAATAGCCCTACAAAATTCACGGAAGTGTTCGGGTGAGTTTTCCCCGTCTCTTTACTTAGAATAAACAGACTTTGTTCACCTGTTCTCCTTTATATCAGCTGCTACTAGTATTTTAGACGACATTTTCTGGTGTATACAATGGCCAGGGTTCGTGTAGATTGAACAATAGCCCTACAAAATTCAGGGAAGTCGTTTGGGAAAGTGTTCGGGCAAGTTTTCCCCGTCTATTTACCTAGAATAAACAAACCTTATTCACCTGTCCACCTTTATATCAACTGCTATTTTGGATGGTCACCAGAGCGAGGCTCGCCGGTGACGTCATTGGCTAATTAACATAACAGCCTCGCCCCGTACCGGTTCAGTAGTCAGTGTTGGCCGGACAGTGAGTCATTCTTGGTCGTTTTTGTCCGCGTTCTCGGTGTTTTTCGCATCCTGTCGGAGTTTTTGCCGCTCCCGAGGTGTAGACCAAGCGTTCAGGTAAGAAATCTGTGAGAAAATGAGGTGAAATTTGCGTGTTTTGACTGATTTTTGCCCCCGTGTCTGGATCTGATTTTTTCCAGGGGACGCTTTTCGGCGTAGACTTTGGGTCATGTTCCAAGCGTCCTAACCTAAAGCACGCTTCTAGGTTCCATGAACTTGTAAAATTATTTTACCGGGCGCTAGCCAAGACATCTGTTATGTTCGTGGGGAACTTGTGAAAGAGAAGGAAGGGGTTTTGTGCGAAATTGTCCCGAAATTCTGCCAGCTTGCCATGTTTTGGTTTGAATGTGTGTTGTGTGTGTGTGTGTGTGTGTGTGTGTGTGTGTGGAAAAAGCCCTCCCACTTCGTATCTATCGTCTGATTCAATATGGTGGACCCGGCGTTCTAACCGGATGTCGGCCGAAAATCGTCCGATCAGTCCGTAGATTTTTGGCGTATTTTCTAAAAACTCCATGGCTCTGTAAGAATTGAAAACGTGTCACAGAAATAGTCGGATGTAGGGCAAGGTTTTTTTTTCTTTGTCGGGGCGGAAAGACAGGTTATTGTTAAACAGTTGGTGACACTTCCGTAGTATACGGATATGTCTGTCTGTTTCCTAGACAGAACGTCCCTTTTTTAATACCCTTCCACCATAATTTTGATGGATTTATCACTCAGAAATTATGTCTGAACAATTCTTCACATTGATATACGGCGAGAGAACACACTAGCCTCCGTAGCAGGGTTATAGAACAGGGGGTTTGGTGGTCTTCGGCTGTTTTCTGATTAGCCTAGTTCTAACGGGGGTAACTCAACCAGGCCGGCTATTTTGTCTATATGCAATCAGAAAAATCACATAAAAGCTCCCAAAGACCTTGAAGAACCCCCAACCCCCAAGTTTGTGTCATGCTATGGAGGCTAAGAACACACATGATAATAGATAACGACACCCACAAACACTGTAACTGAAACGATTGGTGGCCTTGGGAGTTATATGACGGTTGGTGTATATTACATAGCCTACATAATTGTTAGCCTCTACCAGGCACCGCGGATCGCTGGAAAAATAGTAAAAATTGGCAGAAATAAAGGGATAGTATACCAGAGAAGATCCCGGGCCATAGAAGATCCAATATATTCGCGACGCATGCCCAATTTCTACTATTTTTCCAGCGATCCGCGGTGCCTGGTAGAGGCTACATAATTTGTAGGGCTATTGTTAGTTGTGATGCATAACAAATCCTATTGTTCCAAGGGGGTGTCTGGCTGTCTAAAGTCCTTGTCGTTGGATCGATACGTCCTTGATATATCAGCATATGTATGTTTATATTACAAGGTCCTGCATTCTTTTGTACAGGGGTGTTTTAGTACAACAGAATTTGCACAAATGTTTGGACACTAGGCACACATGCTTTCTGCTGTGCTGGGATATGTTTTGTGAAAAATTCTCACGGCAAAGATTTTAACGAAAAAGATTCCACCGCAAACATTCTAGTACTTGTTTTGTCTTGATGTGGCCCAGATATAGTCAGAGATATCGGAGTCTCTACCCAAAATATTTACCAAACTAGGTGTAACACACATGCCAAACAATTTGTCACTAGTCACACATCATGTGTAACTGAAAAAGAAAACTATTGGAAAAAGTGTACAATGAGTCAATAAATAATGAATCATATTATTTGCATTTCTCCATTGTATGTAACATTTTGGCAGTAGTAGTAGATACTACTAATGGCTGAAAAAACTTAAACTTACACCATTATTCAATTTCTGTCTTCTTCACTTACACAGAGTTTGGAAATCTTTGCCACTCTTTCAATCGGTGTTTGTTACTTTCATCTACTAGTAATTCATTGTGGTGCACAATGATACCTTTTCCTGCTTCAGGGTTCTCCCCAGGATTTGAGAGTACCCCGGAGGAGGGTGCGTAGCACCCGAGACGACGCGTTAGCGTCGTGGGGGGGAGGTCTGAGGGGGGAAGCTGAAGCATTTTTCTTTATCTAAATACAAATGGAAGCCATTTCCTGCAACTTCAGGTTTTGAACTGCCAGAAAAAAAATGTTAACATACAGGAAAAAATTGGGCATAGGTTCCACGCTCTGACCCCTAACCGGGGGCCAACGGTGCCTTCAAGTTCGACAAGTGAAACAGAATATGACATTAAGTCATACATTTTCCACTTGGAACTTGAAGCAAGCAATTATGGGAAAATGTAGAGAAGCTGGGACAAAACCTTCTTATCCTAATGCTAATCCTTATGTTATCACCAACTTGTAAACAAGTCCCTTATAATTATCAAAGTACCATCAAAACAAAATTTCACTTCTCTAACATTAAATAATCGGTCCCATGTTTAGGACTACACATTCAAGAAAATACTTTTGAATTTAAAAAAAAAAAGAAGAAGAAAAAAAAAGAAATCTGAAGAAAAAAATATTAATCTGCACAACATTTTATTGGTTTCTATCCCTTTGCTTCTCTACAAGTCGATAATGTGATTGTATCAATTTTCAAACGCCCTAAAATTAGCTAAATCGGCGAATTAAGGTGATTGCGCAATGGACGTGCCCTATGACCTTCGACCTTTTGGGGGTCATGCAGGCGTCAACAGCCCTCCCCATGCCTTGCCCGTCCGTTTTCGTCGGCAAATTTCTGCTTTTTTAGAGGTTTTGAGACCTTAAAACTCACACCATGGGAGAAATAAACCACATACGTTATTTTTATGGTAAATATCGCTAAAATGGACCATGCATTTTTTTGTCGCGTTGCCGATTTTTGGCAGAAGCCTTGCGGCGCGGCCGCCATGTGCTACGCCGATAGCTAGTAGCTACAGGCCGTCCCCCGTCCGGGTTTGTAGGCAAAATTCTGCTTTTTTTTAACGTTTCGGGACTTAAAAACCGACAGCAGGGGAAAAATAAATCGTATACGTTATTTTCATGGGGAATACCGCTATCATGAACCAGACATTTTCTGTCGCGTTAACGAATTTCGCGGCCGCCACATGCTTCATAATGTCGCGATAAGGTAGGGAATTTTCTACGGTTTGTAAGTTCGTAAACGTATCGGCTTTTATTTTTAAACTTATTATCAGGGTCGAGGGCTTTGGTTTACAAAGAAATCAGACAATTAGCTTTCTTTACACGACTTCAAAACGCTAGCGGGGCGCCCGATGTTCCACCAATGACAGCGATTCTCTCAGTAGCGTCGTGCGAAATACTCATTGTTTACTCGATTATCGCCCCATTCACAAGTTTTCAGAGACAATGCCGGTGGGAAAATAGACGCCACTAAGCCCCGAAATCAGGAAATTTTCTCGAATTTTAGCGAAATTTTGTAGAAAAATCGGGATGCAACACCCTAAATTTGGAAAGTAGTATACTGGCGCTGAGCTGGGAGTAGCCTGGCGCAGCGCCCCTGTTCCATCGTCTGGGGAGAACCCTGTGCTTTCATTTGTAGGTTGGTTTGCAAACTAAACTAGACAGAGGAAGGGGTAAATTGCTAGATCTGTTTTCCTTTATTTTGGTTGTTCAGAGACCTTGACATACATTTTACACCAGGTAAAAGCTAAGGCTAGGAATGTTTTCAAGGATTCCTTAGTTTCATTGAGCAAAAAGCTAAGCTGTCTCAGCACATGTTTAGGCCTGGAACACTCGTACTTTGCTATTGTCAATGGTCCATGTGGCCGAAAATAATAGTTTTGGTATAATTGATGTTATCCAAGTCCATAGTGATACATGTACATGAGGCCATTTTCAGTCCCTTGGGAAAATGTTTGGCATTTGGAAATTGGCCAGGCAAAATTTATTGTATCAACCTTCTGTGTATATCTTTTTCATTATCTCTATAAAAGTGCGGTCATGGCAGTGACCAGAAATTTATTGCTGTAATTATCCAAGAAATCATGATAGTCATCCGAATTGATGGCATCCTTAATGATGCAAATAATGGAAAGTCCATAAAAAGAAAGGTTAGATGTGTGGGGCAGGGACTGGGAAATCACATACAACAGTTAATCAGTTTGTCATTCTGGTGATAATGGTGTTTTGACTGGGCAACTGTCAAAACGGTGTGAAATGATGCAGGGCTTGAAAGTCATTTTTGGGAATAGGTGCACTGGTGTGCCCAACCTAAAATATTGGGTGCACAAAATTTTTTTGTGCACCATATAAAATAGAATAAGTACAATATTTCATTTCTAAGGAAAATAATTACAACAATGATTTTATTATCTTTCTGACACTTATATGCTACACTACTAATACCACTATACCATATAGTAGTAGTATAATACGAAAATATTTGGGTGCACTGGTGCACCCACAGAAAAAAAAAATGGACAAAGCTCCAAATTTGGGTGCACTAAGGTGCACATGCACCCAGTATTTCCAGCCCTGTGATGGGTCCAATATATTTCTTTGAATGGCTAACTTCACTTTCAAAAAAAGGAGGTTTCTAATTCTATACTGTTTGTGACTGAATGCAGGATGTTAGGGACTGTTAAAATCGGTAAACAGGTTTTCGTAAACATTTGGAGGGAGTCATTCAAAGAATTCCTAGTATATGTCTAGGCTAATTAAGTGTAGGTGAGGAAGAAGTATTTGTGTTGTTTCTGGCGTCTGGCTGTCAAATTTGTAGGCTGAAACAATTTCTTCTACATTTCTCAACATGCTTGGGAGTCTAATTGCCAGGAATTCACATCATGTGTTACTGTAAATGCAGAAACTCACATGGTGGTTTTATTTTCATGTTTCGTACCTCTCCATTACAAATTCATCGCATATGATATTGTACTACTACTACTACTACTACTACTACTACCTTAAAACATACTAGTAATTGTTTTAACGAATTCAATATGCCTTGAAACTCCCTGTTTTCCTCCTACTACCAAATATAACCACTACGAAACTAAATGCATTTACAGTACTTTGCTACAGCTGTACACTATCAAGAGATAAATGACTTCACAACAGTTACAGAAGTAATGCAGGACACACCCCATGAGTTTGCACTATATAAACTGCTTCCATGTAGTCAATGGTCTTCCTCCTTACATCCAGATTCCAGGACTCAGTGATTCTGTGAATGAAATGCCCAGCATTTTTGGGGGTTGGTCTTCTGGGCCACCTCCAAGTAATACTCCAGGACAAACAATCTAGGTTATGTTGTGTTTTCCCCATCCAAAAACAGAGCCTTGTCCCTAATGCGGTCCAGCCCATGCAAGTGAAGACAGATGCAGACTGGCTGCAGGGCTCTCCCCAAGCAATGAAGCATTAGGGTGCTCCCCCTTCCCCCAAAATCAAAGCACCTCACCCAACATGTTCAAATTTAGGGTTTTCTCTTACTGTCTTAGTATTTTCATGAAAATTAGCTAATTTTTCGTCAACTGGTTAGGGAGAACCTCTCCCCTAAGAATTCCTGGGAGACCCCTGGGCTGGTACTTCTAAATCCCCGCTCAGATCACTTCCTACATTAGACCTCTTGGAAAAGATCCTCAGCTGTCCTGTGACAATGATGCCAGTGGATAAGAGATGATATTTGACTGACAAATTAGATATAATGGGAAAAAGTTCATTCATGTTCCGTAGTAACGTTAAATAAAACAATTTCAACTTCATAAATTATGATCCTGGATTCCACATGTGCAACTTTTTATCTGTGACACAGAATCAGAACACAAAGTATTTTATAGCACAGCAGCTCAGGCCCAATAATGTTTATACACCAAACCTAGATACTGTACATTCCATCAGATCTATAAATTATCAGTGTAATGATATTATCCAGTAGGACATGTAGGAAGTGACTGACAGCCTTTTCAATGGCTTCCTTTGGACACTTGGTTCTCGGTTGGTGGCAGGATATGGAGAGCAGGTTTTATGTGGGTGAAAAATCTGCATGTGAAGATCTCTTTTCAATATGTCAGAAAAAAATATGCAGTCCTAGAAATGAAGTGATATCTAGCACATCATGTGTGTGGATGTGATCATCAGCATAAAATGATGGGCATTTTTTAAAAATCCATACTTGTGATGACTTGTGATGCCGTCTAGAGGTAGATGTTTTCATTCTTTTGCAAAAATTTTAAATTCTGTAGGCTTTGCATACTCCGGGAGCTTATGATTATATGTTACTGTCCTGAAACAACCTTACAAATTATTTATATCCTCTGACCCCCTGTTGCTTTCAACTGCTGTACAACCCACCACTTTACCAAGATGTGGTCACCTTTCACCTGCAACTAGTGCTTACTTTTTCTAAGGTCGCCCTTTTGCGTCATTTACCTGCACATTTGCGTCTCCTTCCGGCTTGTCTTGGGCTGTTATTCACGACTTCTCGGCTCCTCAGCCTTGTTGAAGAAGCTATAAGATGATGAATTCCCTGACCCTTGTTTGCCTGCTACCTAAAAGTACTGCAGTAACAAACGTGCGATAAGAAAATTGCTCCCAACAGGCTATAGAGATGGATCATCTTGAGTTTGTAAACTGCATAACATTCACACACCTGACTCTGAATTTGTAGTAATGGCTAGTTGGTGCCAAGTGAGAACAACATTACAGATAGACACGTAGGCTGACAATCTGAAAATCAAATGAGATTTTTTCAGTGTAGAGCGTGGGCACAATATATTATGCCTGTATTTTTTCATCCCTTTTGGATATAAGATATATTTACCCGTAAGCAGTTTTTGTAATGTTCACGATACATACTACACAACTTGGACATCAATAATATTTTCCATGATGCTGCACATGATCTGGCAACTGTTCCATTACCGTTGTGGTTTACATTTGGGACTGTCGCATTTTCTGAGACCAGACTATAAGGTTTGAACCATGCTAAATCTGTTTATAAACCTGCAATTCTCCTGCAGTCTCTCTAATACTGTCACTGACGAAAGGTAGTGGATGGTTGCTTGAATAACTGTTTTTTGTATCTTATTACCTGGATATCTAAGTTAACCTTCACAGACATGTTTCAGTCATTGTCTAACAACCTGTTTGTTTCTATCCCTGTGCCCCTCCACAGGAAAGCAAGTTACTGTGTTGTGAAGACGGCAGTTGAGAAGGATGCGTGAATACAAGTTGGTGGTTCTTGGGTCAGGTGGTGTTGGTAAGAGCGCACTGGTAAGTCTGTGCTTTCTACTGAAGGAAACACCCTATATTCTGCTGTGGCGTTGCATGATATTTTAATCAGGTGTTTGTTGTATATGTAGTTTATTCTTAGCCTGGGTACCATCCTACTTATATGCCGGGGCTCCCACTCTCGCTTCCCTAA